GTGTCTAGACAGTAGAAATATCCACAGAGGAGTTTTGACCGGTTTTCTAAGAGCTATGTATGCAGTGTAAAACATTTTCATCCCCCTGGTGTAATGTTCAATAAAATATACATTGCTTCTTAGTATCTGATGTGTGAATGGGTTCCTCAGAAAGCTCAGAGGTTCTGCATTTGTTGCTCTAGTTTACCAGATTGCCCAGAGCCACCCACAAAGGATTAATACCTCAGATACAGAAGTAGAAGCTTGTCACTCATCCATCACCTCTCCTCTGCCTCCCCTGACACTCCCTCTGCGAACAGAGGGCCCCTACCCCTTTCTGGCCTGACTGGGCACAGCTGTGTGTCTTCTTCTCAGGTCGACCCTCCAGTGTGGGCATCCACAAGTCTGTTCATCAACTCACCTTGGGGCTAGGATGTTACTGACCTTTGCGTAGGAGAATGCAACAGAAGCCATGAATCCTACATCTGATGCTGAATGATCCAAGAGACAGCTCCTACAGAAGATAAAGCTAGAGCCAAGGACACGAGTGACCCTGGGTTTCCCTTGTCCAGAGAAGATAATTCTTCCTAACTCCAATACCTGGCCCTCCAGGGCTCACAGTTGCCAGAACCTGTCCTGCTATCCTAGTCTTCTTCACACTCGGATTAAAATTGAATTTTTGGGTGTGAAGAAAATGATTAAGATGTTGTTTTCTGCCTAGAAGGTACTAGAGGGGGGCTCTACTGAAAGAAGGAGGAGGATGCAACAGAAGAAATCCATCTTCTGGTGAAAAATCCCCAAGGACAGCATTTTTTTTCTTTTTTTCTTTTTTCCATAATTTTATTGATAAACAAATAGCTGTGAGACAGTTTCAAATCAAATTGGTAGGACAGTTTCAATAATTAACACATTGAGGGCTGGTGAGATGGCTCAGTGGTCTAAAGCACCTACTTAGAACAAGCTAAGCTAAGCAAAACACAGGGACCGCGGTTCAATCCCCCAGCACCACATGCCAGCCAGCCCCGCCCCCTGGTGGGCTGAGCTGGCCACACACACACACATAAATAAATAAATAAAATTAAAAAATATATAATAATAATAATAATTAACACATTGCATACATTCCTCCCAGTGGTTAACTGCTGTACAAGATGTGGACATGATATCTTATCTACAAACACCATTAGAACAAATCCCTCTATTAAGAGAATGTAACTATATCTCTATCCTAACCACTTTGAATACACAGATACAAAATGGACATTCATTTGTATCCCCTTGTTAAGTTCCGTTATTTGAATATTACTGGTGTATTAACTCAGCAAAATAATCTAAAAGAGTCCAGTAGCCCATAATAGTATTGGGTCTTCTGCTTCATTGGCAATGTCAGAAATTGTTGACCTGAGTGTCCTACAGCTCAACATAACAGCATGGCTTTACTTCTTATATTTTGTTTTTATACTTTTCTGCTGGGTGGTTAAGACCAAGGTAGAGCAGGACCTATGCAACAAGAGTTGTAGCTTTTGGATCTGATAAGGTCAGTGAAATCCCCTCAGGATTTATCCTGAGATCCTGTACCTCGGATTGTAGATCCTTTGTCAGTGTCATCCATGTGGATGAGTCACGGCCATTGCTTGGCCAATGTGCTCTCTGTGAAAGCCTGAGAGAATGTTTTCTCTCCATGTGACTCTCCTTAGGCACACTCTACATCATCGATCACTTTCCTCTTTGGCCCCATAATCTCCTTGATCAGAAGATTTGGGACACTACTGAGTTACATGACATTACAGTACAAGTCCTCATATGAAGGACAGCGTTTGAAAGGAAAGAAGGGGTACAATGTTCTCAGGGTTCTTGCAGATGTCCTGCCAGAGTGGTGCACTGGGGCAGACAGGGGCTGATCTTCCCTTTCTCCACTTCTTCCCCATTCTGTCCTTTGTTCTTGGCTGGCTTCCAAGTGTGTGGCCTCAGAAGCATAGGGCCCTGAGGTCCTCTTTGCAAGAGACAGCTCTAAGGCTGTCTATAGCCATTCAGAGGAAGCAGCTGATGACTGGAGCGTTGTAGCTGCAAGATGTCAACACGGGCTTGTGATTTCCGATTCAGTTAGGCCAAAGCTGATAAGCAGAGGGGCTGTCTATGAGGCACTCTGCTTGGCCACTGCTAAATTCTGAGCCTGCAGGGACTGAGGTCAAGGGCCTTTCTTGTGTCCTGGGTTCATTCAGTTCAGTTCATTCATTCATTCATTGGCTTCATTTAGTGGGCTGAGCATTCTCTTTATATTCTCTTATCGTGTGATGCAGAGAACAATGAGTAAGCCCTGGCTACTGCGGTCCCAGAGCTGATCAAGGAGACAGAGGCGATACCAGGGAGGCACATGAGCTAAGAACTCCAGTTAACATTCAAGAGAGAGTGTGAATCCAGTCACAGGAAAAGGACAGAAATGAGAGAGCACAAGGGATGGGAGGCGGGGCAGTACAGTAAATGACTTGCATTTCAGGACTTGTTTTCTCAAGTGGCTTCCTCTGCAGAGAGAAAGGTTGGACTGAATGTAGTTCAAGGCCACGCAGACCAAGATCAGTATTATCCGAGCCCAGAGAGCTTTGGTTGCAAGTGACAGGACCCCAATTCAAATAGGCTTAATTCAAAACAAGATGGGGAATTTATTGAATCATATAGTTAACAGCCTCAAAAGTAGATTAGGCGTCAGAGTTTCAGGCATAGCTGAATCCAGGCATTCAAATCACGATGTCAGCAAGCGTCTCTCTCCAGCCCCATTTGCTTACTTGGCCCAACAGGATGAAAATGCAGAGTCCTTTTCAAAGTTCTAGAAAAGTTTTGCCAGCAGCCTGATCTTCCAGAATCTTCATTGTCCTTGCCAAACTGTTGACATCCTCAACCATCAGCTCCCTTGGGCACTTTCCATCCCTGGCTTTTCTTTCTTTATTTTCATTTTAAATTATTTTATTTAATTTCAATTAAG